TAATTTTATGAATTAATTTAATTAACTATACAAGTTTATTTACATGAAGTGAAAAAATATAACTAGGATTTAGAACAATTCTAATCTCACAACTTCTTTTTAAGTTTATATATTATAAGTTTATATAAACACAGTTATATGTATTATAATTAATAATTTTATAAGTTATAATTTTGTAATATTAATACAAAATAGAAAGTAAATATATTTATATTTAAAGTATATATATACTAAAAATATTTTAGTATATATATATAGTAATTATATTTCTTATAAATTAACACAATATATAAACTATATATATTAAAAGACATTATAAGTTAATTAATAATAATAGTTTCATAAATTAATTTAATTAACTATATGAATTTATTCATAATTTGATAAAATTAAAAAAAATATTTAGGTTCCAAAACTATTATAATCTCAAAAGTATTTTTTAAGTATATATATTATAAGTTTATATAAACAATGGTATATATATTATAATTAACAATTTTATAAGTTATAATTTTTGTAATGTTAAAACAAAATAAAAAGTAAATATATTTATATCAAAAGTGTGTATATAAATATAATAGTAATTATATTTCTTTATAATATGATATGATATTCATATTATTTAAACATAATTAACAATCTAATAATTTTTTAATTTAAATATATTAATGTATCATATTAATAATTAGAATAACCATACTTTTCATATATTTGTTAGTTTTTAACAAAAAGAGTTGCTTGTAAAGTTGATAAAAATTATATATTTTAATTTAATTATTAAAATAATAATAAAATATTTATAAATAGTAATTGAGTTCGGATAACGGGTATTGGTATCCAAACCCCGATACGAGTGGTAAAATCACTATCTGAACCCATTTCAAATTCAATTATAAGACACCTTAATCATATATAATCAAGTCAGATATCCATAGGTATCTTGTAATCAGATACCCATTATCATCAGTACTTATGAAAGCCGAATGACAATGGTTTATCAAATTGGGAGACTCATTAAATCTGAATGGTCACAAAAAGCTTCTTTACAAAAAAATCAATGGGCATCCAGTCATAATTAGTATGTTCTTTTATTGCAATTAAAGGTTCCTGTTTGCAAATTGTTAAGCATAATAAATAAGTTTTACCTAATTAATTTCAAGGGTTTCAATTTTCTTTTGATATAATAAGATTTTCGGTTCATATTTTATATTTTATGACACTCTTATCGTTTTAGTTAAGTTTAAATGATAAAAGATATATCAATTTTCTATTAAATGAAGTCAATACATGTCAAATGCACACCACAAATAGTTGAATGAATATTAAAAATTTTGAAGGCTCAGACTTGAATTTACATAGAGTTGATATAGCTAGGCTTGAATGATTTTGATGTACAAACTATATACTTATAGCCAGATAGCTCATATTT